TTTTTTTTGAATTGGAGTCTTGCATTGTCACCCAGGCTGGAGTGCAGTGGTGCGATCTTGGCTCACTGCAATGTCCGCCTCCCGGGTTCAAGCAATTCTCCTGCCTCAGCCTCCCTAGTAGCTGAGATTACAGGTGTGCACCACCATGCCCAGTTAATTTTTGTATTCTTAGTAGAGACAAGGGTTCACCATAGTGGCCAGGCTGGTCTTAAACTCCTGACCTCAGGTGATCTGCCTGCCTTGGCCTCCCAGAGTGCTGAGATTGAATTTTATTGAAAGCCATTTCTGCATTTATTGAGGTAATCATGTGTTTTTCATCTTTAGTTCTGTTTATATGATGAATTACATTTATTGATTTGCATCTGTTAAACCAACTTTGCATCCCAGGGATGAAGCCTACTTGATTGTAGTGGATTAGCTTTTTGGTGTGCTGCTGTATTCAGTTTGCACTTATTTTGTTGAGAATTTTTGCATCAATGTTCAGCAAGGAAATTGGCCTGATGTGTGTGTGTGTGTGTGTGTGTGTGTGTGTGTGTGTGTGTGTGTGTGTCTGACAGGTTTTCGTATTAAGGTAATGCTGGCTTCATAGAACAAGTGGGGGAAGAGTCCCCCCCCTCACACCAGTTTTTTGGAATAGTTTCTGTAGCAATGGTATGAGCTCTTCTTTGTACATCTGGTAGAATTTGGCTGTGAATTCATCAGGTACTGGGCTATTTTTTTTGTTGTTTTTTTTGGTTGGTTGATAGGCTATTTATTCTATTTTGGAGCTCATTATTGGTCTGTTCAGGAAACCAATTTCTTCCTGGCTCAGTCTTGGGAGAGTGTATATGTCCAAGAATTTGTCCATTTCTTCTAGGTTTTCTAGTTTGTGTGTGGAGAGGTGTCCATAGTAGTTTCTGATGGTTGTTTTTATTTCTGTGGGGTCAGTAACATCCCTTTCATCATTTCTAATTGTCTTAATTTTTTTATTAGTCTAGTTAGTGGCCTATCTACTTTAATTTTTTCAAAAACAGCTCCTAGATTTGATCTTTTAAATGGTTTCTTTGTTTCTGAATTTCTTTCACTTCAGCACTGATTTTTGTTATTTCTTGTTTTCTGCTGGCTTTGGGGTTGATTTATCCTTGCTTCTCTAATTCTTTCCATTTAAATTTATGTTGTTAATTTGAGATCTTTCTAACTTTCTGGTGTGGGCATTTAGTGCTATGAATTTCCCTCTCCACACTTCCTTAGCCGTGTCCCAGAGATTCTGGTATGTTGTATCCTTATTTTCATGGTATTCAAAGAACTTCTTGATTTCTGCCTTAATTTCATTATTTACCCAAAAGTCATTCAGGAGCATGTTGTTTAATTTTCTTGTAATTGCATGGTTTTGAGCAATTTTCATAGCCTTGATTTCTATTTTTACTGTGCTGTGGTCTGAGAGAGTGTTTGGTATGATTTTGATTCTTTTTACATTTGCTGAGGATTGTTTTATGTTTAATTATGTAAAAAGTTTTACAGTATGTGTCGTGTGGTGATGAGAAGAGTATACATTCTGTTACTTTCCAGTGGAGAGTTCTTTAAAGGTCTATCAGATCCATTGGTCCAATGCTGAGTTTAGGTTCTAAATATCTATTAATTTTCTGCCTCGATGATCTAATATTGTCAGTGGAATGTTAGACTCCCCGAGAATAATAGTGGAAGACTTTATGTCTCTTTGTATAGTAGGTCTCTAACAACTTGCTTTATGAATCTGGGTGCTCCTGTTTGGTGCATATATATTTAGGACAACTATGTCTCTTTGTAGACTTGAACACTTTACCATTATATACTTTGTCTTTCTTTGTTGGTTTGAAACTGTTTTGTCTGAAATAATTGTAACCCCTTCTTTTTGCTGTTTTCCATTTGCTTGGTATGTTTTCCTCCATCCCCTTTATTTAGAGCCTGTGAGTGTCATTACACATGAGATGAGTCTCTTCAAGACAGCATAACATTGGGTCTTGCTTTTTTATCCAGCTTGCCACTCTGTGTCTTTTAAATGGGGCATTTAAACCACTTACATTCAAGGCCAGTATTGATAAGTATGGATTTGATCCTGTCTTTGTGCTGTTAATTGGTTATTATGGTGGCTTGTTTGCTTTACAGTGACACTGGTCTGTGTGTTTTTGCATTAACTAGTAGCAGTCTTTCCTTTCTATATTTAGTGTTATTTTCAAGATCTCTTGTAAGGCAGATCTGGTGGTAATGAATTCCCCCAATATTTGCTTATCTGAAAAGGATCTTATTTCTTCACTGAGGAAGCTTAGTTTGGCTGGATATGAAATTCTCGAAGATGATGTTTTTCTTTAAGAATGTTGAGTATAGGCCCCCATTCTCTTCTGGGTTGTAGGGTTTTAGCTGAGAGTTGCACTGTCTGATGGGGTTCCCTTTGTAGGTGACCTGCCCTTTCTCTCTAGCTGCCTTTAACATTCTTTCATTCTGACCTTGGAAAATCTGACAATTATGTGTCTTGGGGATGATCTTCTTGTGTAGAATCTTGCAGGAGTTCTATTTCCTGAATTTGACTGCCTCTCTAGAAGGTTGGGGGAAGTTTTCATAGGTGATATCCTGAGATATGCTTTTCAACTTGTCTGCTTTCTCCCCATCCCTTATAGGGATACCAGTGATTCATAGATTTGACCTCTTTACATAATCCCATACTTTGCAGAGGTTTTGTTTATTTCTTTTCTTTTTTATTTATTTTTGTCTGACTGCTTTGTTTCAGAGAACCAGTTTTCAAGTTCTGAGATTCATTCCCCCACTTGGTTTATTCTGCTGTTAATACTTCTGATTACATTGTGAAATTCTTGGATTGTGTCAGACTCATTAGGTTCTTTTTCATACTGGCTATTTCATCCTTTAGCTCCTGGAAAGAAGTCTATGGACTATACTCAATCTGCACTCCAGTTAAAGGAACACCTACACACAAAGATGAGAAAGAACCAATACAAGAATTTTGGTAACACAAATGGTTAGAGTGTCATATGTCCTCCCAATGACTGCATCAGTTCTCCAACAAGAGTTCTTAACCTTGTTGAAATGACAGAAATAGAATTCAGAATATGGATAAGAAGATCATTGAGATTCAGGAGGGAAGCAAACTCCAATCCAAGGAGAATAAGAATCAAAATAAAGCAATACAGGAGAGGCTTTCAGATGAACCAGGGGGCTCTGTCCAGGGAGTTGCCAAGTTGCTATGGGCTCGATAGCTCTGGTGGTGGGTGGCTGGAGTCCCAGGCCTGAAGGACCTGGAGATATGGGATAGGGGAACAGGCACCCATGTAGCAGTCTGGCCACCTTTCTGTAGGGCTGCTTCAGTATGCTTGGGGCCTGCTCCAACCCCTAGTCACCTCAGATTTTCCAGTACCTGGAAGGTATCACCAGTGAAGTCTGTGAAACAGCAAAATGGCAGCCTGGCCCTCTCTGGGAGCTTTCACCCAGAGAGGTATGGGCCTGCTGCTGGTCCAGAGGTACCTGTAGGAGGCAGCTGGAGACCCCAGTTGGGAGGTCCTGCCTGGTGAGGAGGAACAGGATCAGGGACCTGCTTGAAAAAGATGTCTGGCCACATTTTGGTAGAGCAGCTATGCTTTGCTGGGCATTTGCTTCAGCCCCTGGTTGCCTAGACACTCCAAAGCCTGATGGCTGGAATGGCTAAGTCACCCAAACAGCAATGATAGTGGCCTGCCCCCTCCGTGAGCTCCATCCCTGGGAGGTTAGTCATCTCTGTTGGCCAGAGAACACCTTTAGGGGAGAGGTGGCTGGAGGTGCCCCAGTTTGGAGATCCTGCCCAGTGAAAAGGAATGAGATTGGGGACCTGCTTAAAGTAGTAGTCTGGCCATGTTAGGTAGAGCAGTTGTGCTGTGTTGGGGGATCCCTTCTGTCCCTGGTCGGCCTGGATTCTGCAAAGCCTGAAGTCTGGAACAGCTAAGGTACCTGAACAGTAAAGATGGAGGCCTGCCTGTCCCACTGGGAGCTCTTCCATAGGGAGGTACAATGCTGGTGCCAGTGGCTGGCCAGAATTCTAAGCCAGTGGGTCTTATCTTATGAGGTACCATAGATGGTGGGGGCCTGCAGGCTGTTGCTGCTCAGTCCCCTGGATTCAGCCTCTTTTCTATGGGTATGTACAGAGGTCTAACCTCCCACTTGGCTGGAGCTGCAGCTACCTTTGCTGGAAAGCCCAAGTATCTAAGGCTCCAGTGATTCCACGCATGTCTGAGTGGTTACTCTGCCAAGACTCCATGTAGCTCCGTCAGACTGAAGGCCCTGGTGGACTGGGTTCACAAGGAGCTCTCCTGTCCCAAGGGTTGCAAAGATCTGTCAAAGAAGCATGGATTCCTTGGGTGGTGGAAGGTCCATGGCTCCGTGTTTCTCCCAGGTGGGCTCTTGTCCTGTCTTGGTTTTCTTTGTTCTCCATGAGTCACATTGTTTCCTTGATTACTCCCTATGTGAATACTGGGATGTTTCAGTTGAAGGTGTTATATTTACTCACCCCTTCTGTTTCTCTCCATGAGAGCTACACCCACTAGCTCCTTCTAGGCAACCATATTGGCCACTTTCCTCCATTATTTTCATCTAGAATCCTCCATCTTTAAAAAATGAGTTTTCCCTCAACTGTGCATCATTTTATTTTCAAACTGAGCCTATTTATATCACTTAATATTTACACAGTTACAATTCATTTGACCTATGAGTCATTATATTTATCTCTTATGTGTATTTATACCTGTTCTAAAGCTTGGTTTTATGGTTCAATTAAATTAATGGGATATACTTTATAAATAATACTTAGGGAAGATGGTATAGTTAGGGGACCAGGATTCTAGGTCTAGGTCTACCCACTAACTAGCTGTGTGAACTTAGACAAATAATTTAATTTTATTTAATTCAGAAAAATGTATGAAAACCAAGTAGCTCAATCTCACTGTTCACATAACTACCTGTAAAGAAATACATGTACAGAATTTGTTTTTCTATCATTGCAGGAAATGAATAACATGAAGTGAAGTCTTCATCTCCATTCCCAACAGTTCCCATTCTACTTCCAGAAAGGTAAACATTGTTCATATTTTATTATGAATTCATTTTGCTATGAATTCTTTAAAAATCAGCATACTAAAAGATGTTTGAGTATTTCCTAGATACAGATCCTACCATAAAACCGTATGCATATAATATTTTTAAAGAGAAATCATTGTTTTAGAGAACATTTAAGGAGTAAAGAATACTTGTTAAAATTTATTTGAAATCCTTGTCTATGACTAGAAGCATTGCTTTCTTCTACTGTCTACAGATAGTAAGTTCAAAGGCACATTTGGAGACAGGATAATGGGTTTTCTCAAATAACCTCCTTAAATAGGAGATAGAGAGAGCACCTCTAGATTTGGTTTTTTAGAGCAATTTTTAATATTATGTTCAATTTATTAAGCCAAGTAAAATAAGCTGGTATGATTTTTATTTATCAAGGTAATTATTTTCCCTAAAGTTTAAAGAAAACTCTAAGGAACAAATAGGTGAAGGTGGAGCAAGTTTATTGAGGTATGGATACACCATACCACTAACTTCATGGTGCAGAAAGTTTTCTCAGAATGATATCAAGAGTTCTTTGAAAAGGCAATACAGTTTCCGAAAGCACCACAGGAAGACCTGGGTAGTGACAATAGTACCATCTCTTTAGTATCATCTCTTCTGGAAACCTGACTCTGAAATGAATTATGCTCAGGGCAAAAAGCATTCTTCTGTATTTGTAGATAGGCTAAAATGTACATCACAGCTACTTGGGCTAATTTTATAGGGCTCGTGGAGGCTACTACATTTGCTATTCACAATGGCAAGATGAGCTCAATATCTGAACTAAACAAAGTTAAATTTACCAATATTTAGCAACTGTAGGATTTACATTCCCTTTTTAAGGGAGCTTAGAAAGTACACCCATAAAGAAATAGTCATGGGTCATTTCTTCAGTCAAACCAGCATCAGTACTCAAGTATGATTACTGTATTAGAAAAATCATCTTTAAACACAAAGAAAACTTCTGTTTGTGTATTAATGATCACCAATAAAAAGGTTCTACAAAAGGCCCAGTGCACCCGGGTATTCATGTACATACAACAGCATATCATGATGGACACTAGAAGCCTCGCCCTACAGTCCGTTCTCTTAGGTCCCACCTCTGACCCTCACTTGCTGGGCTTATCTTGAACAAATCTTTAGCCTCTCTCTCCCTAAACTGCATCATCTAAAAAATAGAGATGACAATAGTACTTGGCTCACTGAGTTGTTATGAAAATTAAGTTAGTACATGTAAAACCCTTTTCTGGCACATGGTAAGTGCATGTAACACTGTTGTTTTTCTTATTCAATGGGTATATACCAAGGGAAAGGTTTAAATAAAAACGAAGTCAAAATAATTTATTCAAAAGCCATGCCACTGTTAAATTAATACAGTCAAAACTAGAAATAGAAAAAGAACATGCAAAATATTTTAAAATATTGTATAAAGGCTTATATTTGTAAGCTTAAAAACACTTCATTTATGAATCAATTTGTGCATAAAAATTGTATACATGCAAACAGATTTGGGCCAGAATGGATATTGTTGAATTAATTTAAAAAATACATTTTACAGCTTTTCCAAAGCTCTTTAATGAAAAGTCAGCAAGAAGATAACGAGAAAGGACCAAACAGATGTTGGTTCCTGATGAAATCTGCCAAACTTTTACAGCATCATTATGATAGCTTTCCGTTTAGGTCGCCACAGTTTAAAAGTGGGACATTTGGATCTAGAAGAGAGCAGTGATGATTAAAGAGTTGGAAACCCAGGCCTAAGAGGAAGGGACCATGGAAATGATGTTGGTTGGCCAAAAGAGGAGAAGGCTGCGGGTGCCTTAATTACAGTCTCAGTATATATAATACACCATATAAATGAACAGATGTTGTTCCGCAGTGAAAATAGAACAAGATGGGAGCACAGTGGCTCTGACTTGAGAACCATCTTTGTCTATAAAGTGTTGTTGAATGGCTAAACCTCTGTTCACTCAACCAATATCTATACATTTCCTCTATTTAGTGTACCATATTAAGTGCTAACAATTGATAATTCATATATAGACATATTGGGTGGAATATGCTCTATAATCGTATTGCAGAAGACTTGGTGACCTCTACACATTAGAGCATGGGAAAGACAGGAAACTAGGTGGAGGCAGTGACGCATTTTAGATTCCCACTTCTGTTTCACAAGGATGCATGAGTATCCTGAGAACACCACAGAATATAGCTAGGTGGGGGTCTGCTTGTTGATACCTCAACCAAAAGGACTGCCCTGGGGGCAAGTAGAGTGGATCTTCCAGCTCAAGGAATTATGCAGTGAGCAGGCTTTCCTTGCAGGCCCACCTAGCTCCTGAAGGGAGCCACCAATAACCAGTTTTGGATTATCCCAAAGAGACAATTACCACGAAGAGATAAGAAAGAACACAGAAGCCCAAAAAGATATATATATTTAAATGGTCTTTCCTGTAAATAACACTTCACTTCTGATACCAAATGTGTAGGGTTTATTTCCCATACCAGCCAGTTCTTTAGTTCCTAGCAGACACCAACTGGGTGTCCTAAAATGCAATTAAATTCTAACACTATCTAACAGGAATTAGTTCCCACAAGATTGTCCACACTTCACATGCCAATAGCAAGTCCCAGCCTCCTGTACTTCTGACTGACCAATCATACACTGGGAGTTTCCATAACTCTCATCTCAGGTTAAGTAATTTGCTAGAATAGCTTACAGAACTCAAACATTTACTCAATTTACCAGTCTATTAAAAATAGTATTTTGTTGAGAATGTTTGCATCTGTGTTCATCAGGGATATTGGTCTGTAGTTTTCATTTTTTATGTCCTTTCCTGGTTTGGGTATTAGGGTAAAACTGGCTTCAAAGAATGATTTAGGAAGGATTCCCTCTTTATCTTTTGAAATAGTGTCAATAGGGTTGGTACCAATTCTTCTTTGAATGTCTGGTAGAATTTAGCTGTGAATCTGTCTTTTTTGGTTGGCAATTTTTAAATTACCATTTCAGTCTTGCTGCTTGTTATTGTTCTGTTCAGAGTTTCTATTTCATTCTGATTTAATCTAGGATGGTTGTATATTTCTAGGAATTTAACCATCTCCTCTAGGTGTTCATAGTAGCCTTGAATGATCTATTGTATTTCTTGGTATCAGTGATAATGTCTCCCATTTCCAATTGAGCTTATTTGCAACGTCTTTCTTTTCTTGGTTAATCTCACTAATGGTCTATCAATTTTGTTTATCTTTTCAAAGAACCAGGTTTTTCATTCATTTAGTTCTGTTCTGATCTTTGTTATTTCTTCTGCTGAGTTTGGGTTTGTTCTTGTTGCTCTAGTTCCTTGAAGTATATGACCTTAGATTGTCTGTTTGTGCATAAAGGTCATCCAAATTAGTAAAGAGGAAGTCAAACTAGCACTGTTTGCTGATGATATGATCATATACCTAGAAAACCCTAAACACCCCTCCAAAAAGCTCCTAGAACTGATAAATGAATTAGTAAAGTTTCTGGATACAAAATCAATGTATACAAACAGTATCAATGCTATACACCAGCAATGACCAAACTGAGAATCAGATCAAGAACTCAACTCCTTTTATAATAGCTGCAAAACAAAAATACTTAATACACCTAAGCAAGGAGGTAAAGGACCTCTATAAGGAAAACTACAAAACACTGCTGAAAGAAATCACAGATGACACAAACAAATGGAAGCATATCTCATGCTCATGGATGGGTAGAATCAACAATGTGAAAGTGACCATACTGCCAAAAGCAATCTACAAATTTAATGCAATTTCCATCAAAATACCACCATCATTCTTCACAGAACTAGAAAAAAAATGCTAAAATTCATGTGGAACCAAAAAAGAGCCCATATAGCCAAAGAAAGACTAAGCAAAAACAAATCTGAAGGTATCACATTACCTGACTTCAAACTATACTATAAAGTTATAGTCACCAAAACAACATGGTACTCATATAAAAATAGGCACATAGACCAATGGAACAGAATAGAGAACCCAGAAATAAAGCCAAATACTTACAGCCAACTGATCTTCAACAAAGCAACACAAAAACAAAGTGGAGAAGGGATACTGTATTCAACAAATGGTGCTGAGATAATTGGCAAGCCACAGGTAGAAAAATAAAACTGGATCCTCATCTCTTACCTTATACAAAACTCAATTCAAGATGGATCAAAGACTTAAATCTAAGACCTGAAACCATAAAGATTCTAGAAGATAACATGGAAAAAACTCCTCTAGACATTATCTAGGCAAAGACTTCACGAACAAGAACCCAAAAACAAAGACAAATAGATGGTACTTAAACTAAACAGTTTCTGCATGACAAAAATAATAATAATAATCAGCAGAGTTAACAAACAACCCACAGAGTGGGAGAAAATCTTCACAAACTATACATCTAACAAAGGACTAACATCCAGAATCTACATGAAATTCGAATCAACAAGAAAAAAAAAGTCCCATCAAAAAGTAGGCTAAGGACCTGAATAGACAATTCTCAAAAGAAGATGTACAGATGACCAATAAATATATGGAAAAACATTCAACATCACTGATAATCAGGGAAATGCAAATCAAAACCATAATGTGATACCACCTTACTCCTGCAAAAATGGACATAATCAAAAATGATAGATGTTGGCATGGATGTGGTAAAAGGGAACACTTTTACACTGTTGAGAATGTAAACTACTACAACCACTACGGAAAACAGTGTGGAGATTCCTTAAAGAACTATAAGTAGATCTACCACTTGATTCAGCAATCTCACTCCTGGGTATCTACCCAGAGGAAAAGAAGTCATTATTTTATTATTATGTGTATACAAGTATCTTTTAAAAGATACTTGTATACACATGTTTATAGCAGCACAATTTGCAATTGCAAAAACATGGAACCACCCCAAATATCCATCAATCAATGAGTGGATACAGAAAATGTAAATATATATGATGAAATACTAATCAGCCATAAAAAGGGACTAATTTTAAGGTGGTTCTATGTCACAGTTCAAATTCCATATTCAATGACTTATTGCCTAAATGTACAATGATCTATCTAATCTCCTAAATGAGGCCAGAAGAAAAGAAGAGTGAGCTGGTAGAAAGAAGTCTAAGATCCTCCAAGAACTGAGTTTGTTTTCCAGCTCTGTCACTTACTATTTGATTATCAATGGGCAATTTATGTAATCTGTTTTAAATCATGGGCACTGAGGGAATAACTGTTGGGCACCAACAGCATCTACTATAGAAGTTACTCAATATCTTCCCTGAGAGCCTTTGAACATACCTAGGCCTCTAAATAGTCCGCTTAAACTCCAGTTCTTTTGGAAAATGGCAGAGAAAATGATTATCAGATTTTAAGTCCATCAAAATTCCATTCAGCATTGAATACATATAAAGCATAAGATGAGTTACGAATATATGCAAAAATTTGTATTCAAAATACAAGACAGAAAATGTTCATTTTTATAATTTACTCTTAGAAATCAGTCTTAGTAAGGCAGCTGGGGTTCTCTTCCTGTCTCAAATGTTGAACCCAACATTTTCCTAGCTTTGTGACAGTATTAGGTTCACACCAACTCTTTTGGATGCCTTCTTCTCAAAATCAAATTCAATATAGAGGGACAGAGACTGAGAAGCCTAGGATGAGCCAGAAAGTTTGTGACTGGCACATAATTGCCTGGGGCCCAAGTCACCAGAAGCCAAAAGTTTCCTCAGGAAAGAATGTGTTGTCAAATGGCCATCCTCCAGTCAACGGGGCCTGTTAAGAGAAAAACACATCAGTATTATAAAGCACCACACACAATGACTCATTTAGTCTCAAGATATGCAGGATCTAAATTATTATATCCCTTGTACTGGTATGGAAACCATGATTTAATACAGATTACATAAATTGCCCATTGATAATCAAATAGTAAGTGACAGAGCTGGAACACAAACTCAGTTCTTGGAGGATCTTAACCCTCTTTTTACCAGCTCACTCTTTTCTTGCCTCATTTAGGAGACTAGATAGACCATTGTACTTTTAGGCAATAAGTCATTGAACACTGAATTTGAACTCTGACATAGATCTACCTTAAAATTGAGCTAAGGCAAAATTGAGCTAAGGCAAAATTGCAAAGTACCCATTTTTTATTAGAAAAATGATTTGATTGTATTTTCTTTTGTTTTCTAAACCTGAGTGTTCACCTTTCTTTTCTTCTATATCCCTGTGGCCTTCAATCAAATAACATTGGAATAACATTTGCCAAGTGTTTTATTATCTGTTGCTGCACAACAAATTACCCCCAAACTGAGAATCTTAAAATCATCATAATTATCTCACAGTTACGCGGGGTTAAGATGCCACGAGTAGTTTGACTGAGTGGTTCTGACTCAGGGTAGGTATCTCCTGAGGTTGCAGTTAAGTTGTTGGCCAGGGCAACAGTCACATGGGGTTAGTGGACCCACTTTTAGGATCACTCAAGCTGTTGTTGGCAAGCCTGTTTCTTGCCAGCCCATGTCTGCCCATCTCCATTTGTTGCCATGTGCTGCTTGATTGTTCTCACGACATGGCAGCTGGCTTGCCCTGAGCAAGAAATCTGAGAAAGAGAGGTCAAGGTGTTAGTAGCTAGCATTCTTTTACAACCTCATCTCAGAAGTAACGTATCATCACTTTTGCCATATTATTTGATCCCACAGACCAACGCTGGTATGATGTAGGAGTGGATTTCACAAGGGTGTGAATTCTAGGAGGTGGGGATCATTGGGAGTGCCTTGGAGGCTGACTATCACACCAAGAAGCATACAGATATAGGGGCATTTTATTCCTTCTGTTGCTCCTCAGAGACTGGAAAGGGGATGCTTTTTGCATGTGTGTAAGTACACAATTCAATATACCTATTATGTCATCTTTAGTAGACTGAGCTCAAAACAGATACTAACATAGAATTGATAAGACATTAAGATCCCATCTCTGTACTCAAAGAGCTCAATCTAAAAGACCAAATATACCAAAATATATACATCAAGAGAAGTTAAGTGAGAGCTCAAAAAAGTATAAGGGGGTTCATATAATGATGGTAAGCTGCTGTACGCTTGGGGAAGAAAAAGACACAATACCTAGGAGAAGTGGCATTTGAAATGAGTAGAATTTCGCAGCAAAGATCAGGGCAAAAAGAAATCAAGAGAAAGGAGATAAAAGACTCCGAGGAGGGAAACTCACCAAGAATCTTTGAATCAGAGATTCTGGTAATCATGGCTTCACAACTATGGAAGTCCAGCAGGGAAAACAAGTTGCATGTAGTTTGATGTAAAAGTAGCTATTTGTAAAGCCTCTGATAGGCGCATACCCAAAAAGAAGGAAGAAAAAGATGTTAGATAGACTCGGCTTCCTGCTTGAGTTTCTCTAGTGGCTTCCCATTGTCTGCAATAAATTAATGCAAACTCCCTAGCCTTAAGACCTTCAAGCTGGCCCGCACCTTGGAGCCTTATTCCTAACCACTGTCCTGCCTCCAGGCCCCCAGTGATGCCCCAGCCTCCCCATTTCCTTATCATCCCAGGACATGCCAGGCTGGGTCCCAGCTAGTTACCCATTCTATTTATTCTGCATGGACCAGCCTGCACATCTCTTCTTCACACTGTTCCTCCTTACCTTTGCACATTCAAAGGTCACTTGGCCTAGAAAGATATTTCTGACTCTCCTCTGGACCCATCCTCATTCTAGCTGTAACTAAATGCATTGACATCTGGCATGGCATATACTCAACGAAATTGATTCTAAAAGGAATATTCAAATCCCACAACTGAAGTCATGATATAGTTTGACATCTTTTTTTTCCTTGGAAAAGGAAAATAAGAGACAAGTTAATGGTGCCTTAAACTTGATGGAATTTTCTCATTTGCATATTTACTCCTTCCCTGAGACTAAAAATACCTTGTGGTATGAAATAATTTCTTTTATATCCTCATTGCCTGTCACATTGCCCTGTATAATAAGCTCCCTATGAATGTGGGAGGCTGATCCTTAAATAGCTAAAGGAAACATCACTTCCTTCTACTTAGTTCCAAGAAGGGTGACCCTTATTACCCACGTCATTTCATTTAAAAGGGTCAGCATAAGGTGAATGAAAATTGTGTGATCCGTTGACTTTGTTACATCATTTGACCTAAAAACTATGACCTCCTTCCTTTCATGTCATATATCTCCAAATCTTCCTGGAATTAATCTCAAATTTTCAACAAGGGACTTAGAACTGTAAATATATCTGTAAATATATACAGTTGATAAAATGCCCAATCAATGAAGTCAGGCCTGAAGTCTAAGCTTTAATATTTATTAGCACGTGACCTTTGTTGGTTAACCATCCTGAACCTTAGTTTTATATTCCATAAAATGAGGGTAGTACAACTTACCTGTCAGGGTAGTTGTGATGCAGCTGCAATGACTGGAGTAGCACCAGGGTCCTTGGTCTCACACTGATTTAGATAAAATGACATGGACACATATGGAGTGGTTTTAAGGAGCAGAAAGTTTAACAAGCAAAAAAGAAAGCAGCAGCTCCCCCATACAGAGACAGAGGGAGGGAGGCTCCAAGAGAGAAATCCTGTGTGCAGCAGAAAAATGGTCGGTTATATTGGAGGCTGGAGGAGGCGGTGTCTGATTTGCATAGGGCCCGGGGATTGGTTTGACCAGGTGCATCATTCATATAGCCCAAGGGAAAACCTGGTCCTCCCATCTTAGTCTTTTAAAATGCAAATGCGGGCTGCCACGATGTCCTGAACACCCAGAGGTATCTGGAGGTGGCCGTGACACTGGGCACACCTGGTGACAAGAGGAAGGCAAGAATTGCCATATTGGGTGGACCCAGTTTCCAATGGCCTGCATTTGCATATCAAAGCTTGCCAACCTGGCCCTTCAAGCCACCTTTCTGGTTAGAAAAGAAATGGTTTGGGGGTTGCTTCTTATTACAGGAAAATTACCACCAAAAACCTTTACCCTTTCTAGCTACCTAAAAATTATTTCTTAATAACTCCTGTATTAGTTGTAAAGATTAACTCCATTACAAATATAAAACATCTAAGGTGGGGCCTGGGTATAGGAAGATATTCAGTTAATTTTAGACCATCTCCTGACACATAACAGAATGAACAACAAAAATAATGAGAAGAGTCCAAAGGGTCAGGTGAGCAGTGTGGGCTTAGAAATCCATTCCAACATCATACGAATTGGGCACTGAGATAATTGCCCAAGTTAATGATGTCAAAATGCAATGAACAACAATTCTTGTGGAGGATTTATTCTGCTTGAGTTTCTCTTTCTCTCCGTGTATCATTGAGTAACTTGAAGTTTGAATCTAGTTTTAACTATTGTTTTCCTATTGACCACAATATTTTTACCACAAAAACATGGGATTTATAACAATTTGACCATATCTTTTTCCTAATATTATTTTGGGGACCAAATTGTTGCTTTGCTTCCAGGCATTATAATTTGACATGTACTCTACAACAACCTTTAGCCCCAATGAGCTCTTAGTAAGACTATTTTATTTCCTCTAAACCTTTCCCATAGGTTTCACAACTTTCTTTTGAATGTTCTCCAAAAACTCTAAATCCTTACATTGCTTAACCATATTTCCCTTTCTCTTCTATTGTGCATTTCTCTGTGTTGAGAAGTCTTTGAGAAAGCAGGGAGTCCCTCTACCAACTGATGAATATTGGTATTAGGGAGCAGGGCAGTAGGTAGAGCAGAGAAGAAAGGAATTAAGAAATAGATAAGAAATGTCAGATAATTAGGGGGAAAGAAGAGCAACAATTCTGATTTGTTGTCATGCAAAGATGGAGAGATTAAGATCAGGAGGGGATGTTTTAGCTGGCTTTCATATCAAGAGGATGAAGTGAAGGGATAAAGGTCCAGTTTACACAAAGAAGTTTAAAAGCCAGATGCAAAATCCCAAATCTTCATCATATACTGATAAGCCTTACCACACTAGTTGGAAAGGAGGTTCTAGACGTCAATATGGGAAGAGGTGGTAAACCCCTTTGATCTTTCATAATCTAGAAACAGAATCCCAGAACAATAAAACAGACAACTAATCCTACTATTTTCTGATCTTTTGGCTCTTTTGAATCATTTTTATAAACTTAGCTACTCTGTGGGGGCCTAATCCTTGTCCCAATATTCCACGTGGTTGAATGGCTGCCTGATCCAAATGCTTTGATCACACTGGAGTCTTGGAGTCTTTTCTACCCTTTTTATAGGCATAACTTTCAGAAATACTTTCTGCAAAAGCTCTGTGCTTTGATAAATAGATTTAAGTGCTATAATCACCAGGCATCTGAATGCAGATTAATTCATACAGCCAGATACTAGATCTTGTTCTGTCATGTTGTTTTTAGCCAAAAGTTGAAAGCTTTGAAGAATGTGGAGAAACTATGAAATTTTAATAGCCTTGGGGCACAGAAACTTAACACAAAGAAAGAATCGTCATTCATTCAAAGAGTATTCATGGCCTTGGTGGAAAGATTGATGACAAATTCTGTGATTAATTACAGTTGTTGAAGAAAACTAGAAGAAAAAAAGCACCAAGAGTTCTTGACTTAATCAAAGACAGCAATTTGAATAAATGGTCCTAAAGTCCACAGTAAGTACTTGGTCAAATGAACCACAATGTTACTTTGAATTCTAAGATTTTACCTTCATCCTGAAAAATAAAAATAAAAAAAAAATAAATGCCTGGCTGAACATTATTGATTTGATAGAGAAGGTATCAGTTATTTTCTTACATAAAAAGGACTCATAAAATCTAAGGGTTGTGATATTTAGGTTTTCTTGCCTGAAGGAAGGTCATTTCACAGTAACTTCCTGAAAAAAATGACTATATATTATGATTAGTAACTTATCCATAAAAAGGATAATCAATCATATGGTTTTGCTGTGTGTCCCCACCCAAATCTCATCTTGTAGCTCCCATAATTCCGACATGTTATGAGACTGACCCAGTGGGAGATAATTAATCATAGGGGCGGGTCTTTCCCTTGCTGTTCTCCTGATAGTGAATAAGTCTCACGAGATCTGATGGTTTTAAAAATGGGAGTCTCCTTCCACAAACTCGCTCTCTCTTTGCCTGCTGCCATCCACGTAAGATGTGACTTGCTCCTCCTTGCCTTCTGCCATGATTGTGAGGCCTCCCTGGCCATGTGGAAGTGTAAGTCCAATAAATCTCTTTCTTTTGTAAATTGCCCAGTCTCAGGTATGTCTTTATCAGCAGCATGAAAACAGACTAATACAAATAACATAAGAACAGGAATGAAATAATTGACATGAAGGACTCACCTGAACAATTACACCAAAAGAGCATCTTCTACTTTCTCTAATCTGGACAAAGCCCATCCACAATAGGCCAATTCTGTCAGAGACAAGGCTGATGGGAAGGTTCAGAAATAATTGCAACTTTTCTCCTCACATTTCTATGGAATCTTTTGGAGAATAGAAAAATAAATTATTTTAAGGCAGGGGTTCTCAAGTCCTGGACCAGTACCTGTCCATGGCATGTTAGGAACAGGGTCGCACAGCAGAAGGTGAATGGCAGGTAAGCCAGCATTACTAAGCCCAAGCTCCACCTATTGTCAGATCAGAGGCAGCATTAGATTCACCCTATCGTGAACTCTGCATTCAAGGTATCTAGGTTGCATACTCCTTATGAGAATCTAATGCCATCTCCCACCCACTGTGGTCCTTGGAAAAATTATCTTCCATGAAACTGGTCCCTGGTGCCGGAAAGGTTAGAACCACTGTTACAAGGTTTCAATAGGTAACTTGCATTCAATAGCTTGTGGTTATAGCTTCCTGTTTGGCAGAGGAAAAGGATATCTATATATATCTACATATAGATATATATATCACAGATCTTAGAGCTTTAAATTAAATATCAACTGTATGGAACTTGACTACTGAGCTTGAGCTTGCCACCATTCTTAAAATCATCAGTTCTACTTCCGTGCTATTTTTTACATTTATATATTATAACTTCATCTTCAATAAAATATAAATATATATTAGCTATTTTTCAATGTGGATTTTATGTGGTAAGTGTTCAGATCTAAGAATATTATCTGTTTCCCAAGTAATTGTTTTCCCTGAGTGAAAATTTTTAAAGCTTACTTATGTTAATTACAATTCTATTTTAACCTTACTAGATCTGCGCTATGACTAGAAAACACTTAAGATGAAATTTATCCCATTTAAAAGTAAAGGGGTAATAGTTTAAAAAAATACTCCAGTAAAGTACTAAGTCATGAAAACTATATTTTCTTGACACTTGTTTCTAAGATGCACATGCTTTAATCTTTTATAAAATATAAGCATTCTTTTATACTATATGAAAGAATTAAAACAGTGCACTTTATACACTTGAAACCAAAAGTTCCCATCCTTCCTGCTCTTTAAAGAATGGAAATTAGACTGCTATGTTTTTCTTACTTTTTTAGCAACATAACTAAACATGGTTTGGATATTATCGTTAAGTCTCATTTTGGATCATCAAAATACATAAGTGTGTATATATATAAAAAATAAAACTTACAAAGTATGTATGTGTGTGTGTATATATTAAACTTGTGAAGTCCTAAAAGCCTGGCAGAGTGGTAGAGACACGCAGCTCCAGTCCCAGTAAAACAAACCATATGGCTAATTAAAATTGTCCTATTGATCTCTCCACTAATTGCTAAAAAATACATACACGTTTTCAGTTAATCAGCTATTAGTTTGGCATTCTGCGTGCTACATTTTTCTCACCTGTTGTTGAGATTAACTCTATGATTTTAGGCTTTTATTTGTAGATTTGGGCTTTTTGCACTTTATAGACTTCTAAGTCCTTAAAGCAAGCAAATAAAAAAATGTAGCTCAATGAGAACACTGCAAGTTATAAAAGTGGTCCAAAGAGTTTCACTATTTTTTCCTTGCAATGTCAGAACAGGATGAAAAGCTAATTTGAGGCTATGTTTCCTTCCCTAGAAGAACTATATATATAGTTGACAGGGACCCATTCTCTTTTCACCCTTGCTGACTTACTACACTGTCCAACCAAGCCTTGCTCTCCTTCTCAATCACTTCTTCATGAACCTCTCCCCTAAAAAGTGGAGGTGAAATGTAGATATTCAAATTTTCCCACCATTTCAGAAACCACAACTCTTTCTAAGAGAAGGAAACATGAAAAATGGACAAAACACTGATCTAGATGTGCTTAATTTAGCAGTCATAGGAACTCCATATTTGTATATTTTGTATAGTTATGAATATTATGTAGTATAGGATGAAAATTCAGTAAATGAATATATTAGCCAGTTCACTTATTATCAACTATATATTGAATCTGAACCATGGTGAATTGATTTAGGACAAATATAGAAATAAAATAAGGATATTTAAGCCAAATTTCATTCAACTCTGTTGTTTAGTACAGACATTTTATGATTTGATGAAACAAGTTGTTTTCAAAAATAAATTATAAATTACATGGTGTGTAAAGTATATCAATAAAATATAAACACCAAAATAGTTTTACATGATGTGTAAGATAATAAAATATAAACCCTGGGTTTATTTTTGAGTTATGTAATGCTAAATAATAATTTTATCTTTTTACTTTTTAAGTAATAATAATTTTATTAAAAGGCCTGGTTTGGCTGTAGGCAAATAATTGATTACTTGGAGCAAAAAAAAAAAAAAAAAAAAAAGGGATGTGTTGGCTCTCATCACTTTCCTATAACTCATGAATATTAACATTTTCCAGAAGATTACTGCCCTTGGGGATTTGGGCTCTTCCTTTTCAAATCTATTGTTATGTGTATTATTTTTCCTTTCATTAAAAGAAGGCAGTCAAGACTGTTTAACTCAGTTTAAGAAAAAAAAAAAAACTCTTGCCAAGTTTCTTAAACCCCATTGTATACATGCAAGCTTAAGTTAGAACAAACAAAGATATGACATTACTGTATGGAGTCCAGTAAGTGCTTCTATTGTGTCTTCAATTCTCTTCCTCAATGACATTCTCATTTACTTAGATTTGTCTCTATCTTCACAGGTTGCTCACACTGAAAATCAGTTTCTTTTCCCCTGGTGCAAAGAACAGTGGCTTCTCCAAAACTGAAGTTGAACATTATCTGAAATATCAGGTCCTCCAGAAAAGGGACGTGTAGCCCCCTTTGTAATTTCTGCATTAGCATTGCTCTCCTGGCAAGCAGGAAACTTCATCAGAGAAGTCAGCCAAGGAACGTCTTTAAATGGAAATTGTGCAAATGAGGAGCAAATGCATTAAAAAGTTGCTGACGGGCATGAAATGCTTTGATGTGAAGACGGAAAACTCCAAGCAGGAAGGATTTTAAGCATTTTGAGTCTGATTGACTCTGTGGTTTCTCAGCAGAGTTATTCCATGGGCTAAAATAAATGCAGAAATGGTATTTTGAGACCACAGCTGCAGAGGGGATCGTGGTAAATTTCAATGAAAATCCAGTTGAATCTTGAGGTTTAGATCTTAAAAAAGCAAAGGACATGAAAGAAGTAATATTGCTTGAAATTTCATTGCTTATATCTAAAAGAAACTCCCATTTATTTTTAGGAGAAATGTTGAATCTTTGCAATGTGGTAGATGCTTCCACAAAACTTTCTCCCAAAATAGGAGATAAATGTCGGAAAGAGGCAATTTACTGAGTTTGCTGATAGAGGTGGAGTTTAGACACAGGCAAGCATACACAAGAGTCATGAGGTTTTTACATTATTATCTTTATAAATGAGTTTTGTTTGTTTTTCTTGTTTTGTTTTCTGAGATGGAGTCTTGCTCTGTCACCCAGGCTGGAGTGCAGTGGTGCGATCTCGGCTCACTGCAAGCTCCGCCTCCTGGGTTCACACCATTCTCCTGCCTCAGCCTCCTGAGAAGCTGGGACTATAGGCACCTGCCACCACGCCTGGCTAATTCTTTTGTATTTTTAGTAGAGACGAGGCTTCACCATGTTAGGCAGGATGGTCTCGAACTCCTGACCTTGTGATCCGCCTGCCTCAGCCTCCCAAAGTGCTGGGATTACAGGCATGAGCCACTGTGCCTGGCCACAAATGAGTTCCTTATAGTGGTCAATGACAGACCAATTTCATACAAAGCTTGCTTCAAAAGGCAATGGTTTGATGCCAATATGTTAGCTATTTACTTTGACCACCGTATGCATTAAAAAGAATAAAAATTAGGAATACTCAAGCGGAACCTCTAACTTAAATAGCATTTTCCACAAAAAGTGATGGAGGGATAGACTGAGGTTAAATGGGATCAGGTATGTGATGAGATCTCAGAAATATTTGCACAATAATGCAGATACACATTTTAAACAGACTCATAAGGATTGGAACTAATAAAAATAATAGAATAAAATACTGATCAAGAATGTGTCCTCCTTAGTAACTGGGTTTTGAATTCTGGCTCCACAGAACTTTTCAGATATCTGACATTAAACAAGATACTTCAACGTTCTGTGCCTTCATTTTCTCTGCTGTAAATGGAGATTTTACTAGAACTCTATAAGATTATCATGAGAATTTTATTACTTAATATATGTAAAGCTTTAGACATAGTATATGGCACCTAGTAAGCACTCAATTAAATGTTAGTTATCATTCGTAGCAGTGTAGAATTAAAAAACAAAAATGGCAAACTGTAAGTTAGGCATCTGGCTCTGCAAACTAGTTAAATTCCACAGACCTTATTCTGGCCATCTGTAAAATGAAAGGGTTAGGCTAGATCATCTCTAAAGTTCCTTCCAACTTAAAAAAACATTGTTCAAAAACACGTTTTAGGAGTACGCAAAGTTTTTCAGCAGAAGGTGATGTTTTAGCAGAACGTTTTTAAAGGCACTTAATCACTTTCACAAAAATGTGTTTCATGGCTTGCACTTCCTCCTCAGTCAACTCTTGTTGGGACTTTACTTGCTGCTATTTGGCCAAAGTGACTCCTGTCAGGGTCACAAGGATTTCTATGTTGTCAAGTCCAATGGTCGCTTCTTTAACCTCTTACTACACTCGGTAGCACTTGACACATCTGAATCTGATTTTTTCCTTCTTTCTCCAGTCACCAGCCAGAATTTTTTTTTTTTTTTTTTTTTTTTGAGAGTCTCTCTTTGTCTTGTAGGCTGGAGTGCAGTGGTGCAATCTCCGCTCACTGCAACCTCCACCTCCTGGATTTAAGAGATTCTTGTGCCTCAGCCAGGCATCACCACATCAGGCTAATTTTTATATTTTTAGTAGAGATGGGGTTTCTCCATGTTGGCCAGTCTAGTCTTGAACTCCTGACCTCAGGTGATCCGCCTGCCTCAGCCTCCCAAAGTGCTGGGATTACAGGCTTGAGCCACCACACATGACCAAGATTGTCTTTTTAATATACATTTTATTTTACTCCTCTACTTAAAATCCTGAAATGGCTTTCCATGACCTTTGTGAT